TGAGTGTTTGTAAAAAAGTTGTGTTTGAAAAATTCAATTTTGTATATATATTTTAAAGATAACATTGACAAAATTAAGTGATTTTGTGCTTAAAACATAAAGAGATAAGTAGTGTTGATAGTTACAAAAATTAAAAAAATAATCCCAAAGATGTAAAAAGACAACAAAAAACTATAGATACGAAATATTAAAAACATCATCTTTCGTGTTCCTTCCGTGAAGAAAAAAAAAAAAAAAATTCCTAACTGCCTTTCAGAGGACCAGATTGCCATAGTGATATAGGCAATCAGATTTCTAATGGCATTTTGAAACTAACCCCTGATATTTTGTCCAATTTAGGATTCATGATTAAATTCAAATGTCAAGTGCATATTGCTTAATAACTGGAGAAAGTGTTAATTGATAAAAGATCGTTTTCATTCAAGGATGGATTTCAAGTCAGCCTCGTTTAACGGTATGATGAATGGGTCGTCTGATGAGCAGTTTCATTTCCAGTGAATCGCTGCATCGTAGCCCTGATGTGTTTTCCTTATATAAACCGGTACATATGTATGCAGTATGAAACATTAAAGACAAAATATAGATGCCATACAATTTTCTTGTCTTATTTATTTCATTATAATGTATGACTATTAGAACACTGCTCCTCGAAGTTCCTCCAACTATAGGTCAAATCGAACGAACGATTATTAAAATATCAGAATATCAAGGAAAATATATTTGTGTATCCATATTGAAAAGGATTTTAGAAAGCAAAGACAATTTAATAAAATTAATGTCCAATTGATAATTGTATACCGATGCCTGAAGTCTCACCTAATTTTGGTCAAATTGAATCTGTTTTGTTTTAGCTATAGTAATATCAAGAGAAATACGTTTGCGCATATGAATGACTAAGTAATAGATGGGATTTGATAAAATTGATACAGTATAAGTATTTACTATAAAGTAAATAAGCGAAACTAATAAACAAAGAAATAGAAAGAAAGAAAAAAAAAAAGAAAATTTAAATTACAAACACATGCTATTAAATTTCTGGAGATTAAAATATCATCTGAAAGAAATAAAGTGACTACTTTTATAGTTTTTTTTTTTGGCATCCCTTGACGTCATAGATATATTTTATCGTACCTCTGTTGGTTCAAAATTGTACCATAATATTAGTAATCTTCAAAAATATTTCTGATGATTAGGCTAATGTTGGATTAGATATTTCCTAGGTTCCTCCATTTTCATCAATTGTAATTTTGTGACAGAGATGGGCATATGCTACTATGAGTACCGACTGCCAAGTATTTTACTCAAATTGAATCACAGTTGGGAATTCAATAACTTTTTTTTTCTATCTTTTTATTGAGAAATAATACGTTTTGCCACACTTAAGGGCACTGAGTACTAAAGCTGAGTGAGCCACATTCATACTATATATACAATGCAATAAAAACAAAAATTAATAAATAAATACAAAATATATATATCTGTATAACAAACGCAAAAACTGTAAAACCAAAGAAACGTAAATTGAAATAAATTAAAAAAAAAATACAGATATTCTTAGCAAATTAAATAAATTATAAGTAAAACAAATAATTAGATAAAAAAAGAAAAACATTCATACATAAAAAATAAAAACATTAATTTTCAATCGCTACATCAGTTAATCGTTTGACATCAACTGAAGAAGTAATTAAATTACTTGGTACTCAAAAAAGGTGAGTATTTGAATAAAATACTTGGTACTCAGTACTCGGAGCAAGTGTTACTCTTAGTAGCGAGTGCGAATTATTTTAGTCAAATTGAACCACTATTGGGAATTCAATCACTACTTCAGTTAATCGTTTGGCATCGATTGAAGTAGTAATTATACTCTTTGGTTCTCAAAAAAGGTCAGTATTTGGGTAAAAAGTTTGGTATTCATACTCAAAGTAGCATTCACCCATATCTGGTCAAGGTTTAAGGTGCGCAATTTCCACTCTTTTTCGGCCTAAGCTCCGGCTGATGGTAACCTATTACTTCACGATATTCATTAAACTTGTTTTTACTTTTAGGGTGGGTTCTCGTTATCCATCGACTATCTTCTTTTATTAACGCTTTGTTTTAGTCGGCGAAACAGCTTTCTTTTAGTCGGCGAACGAGCTATGATATGGACCATTGATTCATTGCCTCGGTTCAAACTAAAGAGATATCTTTCGAACAGTGATGATTGTCATTTTAAAAATTTATTTAAAACTGCTGTCTTTGAAATGGTCGAATTTTTTTTCAAACGCCAGCCCATATGATTTTTTCCTCCTAACTTTGGATACCCCTTAGCAGTTTTTACTGAAGACAATTAAGGCTCGGCCTTAGCGAAGGACTTCTTAATTAGTTTTTAACTGTTTTAGATGAGGCGAAGGGCGGCCCTTCAGAGCCCTCAGGTCGCAAGGTCTCTGTTGACTCAGGCCGACCACATGCCCTTTATCTTGTCAATCACGGCTGTTTAACGCCTCCTTAGCTACACGTGTCTGGCTATTCATTTGGCCTTTTTTTTTTTCACCGGTTCTCAGGTTTTTTTTTTTTGGTTTTTTTTGTAATCAATTATCACTCCAGAAGTGTAACATTTTACAGTTTCTCCGACTCTTGTCTTTTTTTGTGATATATCATCAATCTTAAACTTCCTTTCTACATCCTCATGAATAACTTTTGAATTATATATATTTATATAATCATAACATCGGTTGTGTTTTATTTTGAATTTCATCATTTTCCATCCCGTATCCAATCCTTACAATCCAAAATCATCTGTAAAATCCTAAATTCTCCTTATTATGTAACAAATAAAATTATTCATAAAAACCTCAACATTCCTCTTGTGGAAGACTTGGCCCGAACTAGATATAACTCTTTTCATTCCAATCCTCTAGTTTGTAACCTTTAATCTAACACAATTCTTCACAACCCTCCGAGGCCTCTGAAAAGAAGATGGTGAAGGGACCTCCTAAATTAATTTATCTTTGAAGTGTTACCAATGGGTAGCTTCTTCACAAGTACCTTCATATATTTCTATAGCAAATTTATTGGTTGTATATTTGTTTACAGTTGTAAATTTCAATAGAATAATAAAAAAAAAAATTATTTTCCTATTGGATTTATATAAAAGTTTGAAACCCAAAAAACCTGAAAGTAAATTACAATCTGGGTATAAAAGCAATGAAGACATTTAATTTAAAATACAATAACGAATATCTGGTTATTGTAAAAGGTAATTTTAAAAAACATGCATTATATTGAGTAGTTTTATCTATATAGTTTTAATGAATTAATTAAAAGATAATTTTTATCTGAGTCTATACTACTTCTCTTCTATTATGCAGAAACGAACAACAGTGCTTATTCCAATTATAAACAAAATACGCTATAAGAAATGTCGAAAAACACTTAACAGGCCCTAATTACACTTTTCATGGTCAATTATTAATTTAATATAATAATTGCTAAATGTTTGTTTTAATAAATTATATTATTTCGATTTGTGGTAAAGGAAGGATTTTGTAATACCACAAAAGCACTGTTGAAAGAAAACATTCCGACATTCAAAGGAAGAAATATTATTATAATCTATGACCTTGTTATAATTTAAAAGTCTTGTAAGTAACTATGTCCAATAATTTACTTTTATATTTTAATGAAGTAAAATATTTCTAATAGAAATATATCTATATCTTTCATAGAAACATATCGATGCTGTTAGTACAAAAAGTCGTTCGTTTTTTTTTTTTAAAGAGCATGCTTAAAAAATTATATATACGATTATTTTTTTTATGATATATTATTATAATTTCATATTTTATTTCCATGTGCTATTTAGTATATTACTTATAGCAGTTGCAGACTATTAAATCTCACCTTCAGCGCAAAGAAAATAAACATGTAAAATTGTTATATGCGACCTTTTACAGTAACAGTAACAGTATATTCTGTTTCCTTTTTGTTTAAAAATCGTGTTAACGGATTTACCAGGTTTAAGAGGTAAGTAATCAGTATATATTATTCCTGTATTTTTAAAAACATATCGATAATATAATATACATCGTTAAAGTAGATTCATGAACATTTCTGAGCAAAAGGTAAAATTTCCTCTACTTTAATGAACTTTTAGTTAGATCTCCCCCTTATTATCTCTACCTCCATTAGATCAAGTATTAAAAAATAACAGTCTCAATAAAATAAAAATATTTTATTGCTGGTTAGATCTAAATAGGTTACTAAATTCTTATGAAAATGAAAGGATTTTTTTTTTTCCTACTCCCCCAGGAATTTCTTGATATATATATATATATATATATATATATATATATATATATATATATATCAAGAATATACAATATATATATATATATATATATATATATATATATATATATATATATATATATAAATGTATATATACATAAATTTACAATTTCCTTTTATTGCTCAAGGGCATTTTAAGGTAAGAGGGCTATGCACGCTGTATGCGTTCTTTTCATCTGTGGCCAGATTTTATTATACCACTTTATTACGTTTAAGGCTTTATCAGCTTGAACCATTAGAACATTTATTTTTGTTTCTACCCGTATATTTTGATTGAGACGACTTTTGATGAACTATCTTGACCATTTTTTTGTTCTTCAAACTACAGGGCAATATGATATTTCATATTACTGCTGATCAAAAGAAGAAGTTGCAGTAATCCTGAGCGAAGGAGACAAAGGGCCCCTCCATCACCATTTGTTATCCCCAATATTCCAAGATCATTGTTTCGAATAATTGATGAGAATGACAGGTTCAAGTGATTGAGGGTTTTTAAATAAATGTCCCTCCGTTGAGGGAGCAGACAATCAACACGATTTATCAGGCCGTAGCGGGCCACACAGGTATCGCCATAAAAAATCCATTAAAAGCTATAAAACTCCGGCCGGTTCATCATCGGCGGGACATGGTGTCATTTGTATGATTTTGTCAATGAAGACTGTCATTGACAAATGAAGAGGCAATCTGTTGCAGGCCATGTGGCCTCATCAGGCCATATCAATCACCCCCAGCACCAGGTTTCCTTATCCGTCTCCTCTTCCCAGCCCCAACGGTACCCCCCTCCCCACTTCCACTCTTTGGATTCCTATCATTTACTCTTCCTGCACCGTTTCCAGCTCCTTCTTTTTCTTTTTAATCTTTCTTTTTCAAATAAAGGAGTTCTTATTCTTTTTCATCGCGAACCCATTCCCTCCTGTTATACCCTTCCTACTGTATCCATTACCCCCCTAGTCCCTAACAGTCCTTGCGCTCTTTTTAACCTCGTCTACTCGATCCTCCATCGCCGAGACGTTCCGTCATGTCATATCGGCTCTTTTTTGCCGATCATTTCCTGCTCATTAGTTCATCAGCGGCGTGTGTTCTACTTACTAGCTAAACTATAACTGCTGAAGATGATTAATGACGTCCAGCCAACTCGAGCTGTCAAAGGAAAAAAAAAAAAATATGAAGCCAATAAAAAAACTTAACTGAATAAATGCATTGAACAATTTCTATGCATTAAATCAGCCATTTGTTTATATTATCTTAGATATAGCTTCCTCTCTTCTCCCGACGCTACGACTATGTTCAAAATCCAGACGTCAGTTTATCTTAATATTGTGCATTCAACCTAATATATAATAATAAAACTGAATTATAATGTACAATTATAAACTTATAGATATATGGGTAAGTTTTGGGACAGGATTCCATATACTGAATCTGAGAGGTTTGTGAGGAGTTATGATAGCACGACATTCTAACGATTGATCTCACAAGATATTTTGTGTCGGTAAATATTTTTTTAAATCTTTTTATTTTATTTATTGAATAATAATGCATTCTGCCAAAACTAAGGTCAATAGGTATTTGTTCTAAAGTTAAGTAGTTATTCATAAAATGTATACAATAAGAAAAAATATATGTAAATAATAAAGAACTAAATAAAAAAAGTAATAATAAATAAAATACAATAAATGAAATAAATAATAATAATAAGGAAAGAATAATGAAAAACGTAAAATAATATATAAGCTATACAAATAAAAGTCCACAAAAACCATAGATAACAAAATTAAAATTAAAATTGATTATAAATTAAAAAATATATATATTTATATATACATAAATAAAATAAAAGTCACCTAAAATTCATTCACACTTATCTATATACAATTTTTACATTCACCCAAGGAACTCCGAGCCAGACTTTGTCTAGTGTCGGCCCGGATAATTATTTATGGGGAAAAGAAATATTTTTTTAACAAATAACAGCTAGTAAAATAAACGAGATCCGAATGTTTAAAGAGATAGAATACTACTAACTACGGATTGAATAAAGCCTTGAGTCTGTCGCACAGTTATTGATGTATTCGTCAAAATCAATACACGACTAATATGGATGCAAGATCATAAGAAAGGATCTTATTTGTCTTATTCCTAATAAAATTGTCAATGTATATCAGTAAATTCCTAAAATAAATGGAATGAAGCAATGCAATTAGCCTTAGTGTTCTCATTTCACATTTACTCAGAAATATTCTCATGATTCTTCAATCTCTGATAAGATTGACAAGTATTCAGTTTTAGCACAATAATCTGCATCCATTGCAAATAATGGTCACAACCTATAAGGATTGATTGACCAGATTTTCAAACTGTAATTTTTCTGTTATACCAATATTAACATTAGAACTCCTGAAGGAAATTCATTAAAAAAATTAGTCTTTTTTACGGCAATAATCATTGTGAATATCAAATTTCGTGAAATCTGTTCTTTGATGTAAAACTTACTAGAAATGATGACCGAACAATTTCGGCTTTGTTATTACCATACTGGTACCAAATAGACGCACACGAACCAAAAAAAAAAAAAAAAAAAAAAGAGAAGGTACCTTAAAGACAGACAGTGCAGGTCCTATCAGAAGCGATATATCAGATACAGAGCTTAAGTACATTTATAAGCAGGGGGAGTTTGCACATATATAATGCTAATCCGGTCTGATGCGACCAACATCGAGTCTGTCACAGGGTCCATATTTATCGCTTCACAACTCTCATTTTTCTCCTGTCTCAGCCTTTGTCTCCTCCTTTTTTTCCTATGTCTCTATCCATCCTGCTATCTGAGATCCTCATGATCGAGGGGGCTGTCGGAAGCGTCAACGAGATGCGAATTGGTTATACTAGGAAATATGATGCAAATTAATTATGATGATGCCGAAACGATTGTACCATAATGATGATTTAATAATCAAACATCGTTAGCAGTCTCAGCACTAACGGATTCAAGATATGATTTTGGGGAGGGGAGGAGCTTCAGCCCGAAAGATTTTTATTTTTATGGATTTGTATGTATATATTAGGATAAATACTAGAATAGAAACAAAGAAACTAACTACCGATATGAAATGGTGTGTAACTGATTCTTTAAGTCCTATTTCTTTAAGTCATTTATTAGCCTAATAAGGCGAACAATAATACTTTTAGAGATTTTGGTTTTCTTTAAACATGGTTATATTTTACCATTTTGGGAAGTGGGGAGCTTCAGCCCGAAGCTCCCCTGTAAATCCGCCAGTGAGTCTCAGTGCTGGTCTACCATCAGACATAGCCACTACAGTATTGCATTTTTGACTGAGTTTATAAATTTGTACCAAATTAAACCTTGAAGATATTCAGAAATGTTCTTAAATTCAGTAATAATGCTTGATTCTCATCAGTGGAAATTAGTAAAAGCGTTTAAAATACGTGAGACCGCTAAAAAGCAATGAGTATTGTATATAGCATGCGCGAAGTTATAAAGCAGGATTTGGGAAAAGATGTATCATTTAGGATCTTTTAGGTATCTGACGTGGTACTTTTTTATTTTCTTTCTAGTAATGTTGAGGTTAAGAGGAACCCATATTAAAACGTTCATAATATGAAAATTGATTCAGTGTTATACAGGGTGCCATAGTTCTCAATGGCCAATCTCTTGGTGGTGATTTAAAAAAAAAATCCAACAAAACATTTAATTTAATACATTGACCGATTCCGAAAGAAAAATTAAGATAAATTTTGAGTACACCATCGTGAAGAAGGAAGATTTTTTTTTAAACAGTGATTAAATTTACTAAGGTTGATAAAAGTTACTTTGGCCGATGTACAGAGAGAGATATGCTGCTCGTGTATGAGTACTGTAACTGCAGCAGTACAGCGGCTCTTTCAGACCTTCTGAAAGTCCCTTTTATCATTGACCTTAGTAAAATTTAAGTTTCTGTAATCTTTGAGCTTGCTTAATTTATTCACTGTTTCCTCAAAAAAAAAATTGATTCAATAAAATCTACCTTAAGAAAAACACAAAATTTGTCTCGACTTCTTATCCGTCCAGAATAGACCTTTGCATCAAATGAACTTTTTTGTTAGAAATGTTGTCTAGAGCTGAGACAGCCCGTTTATATCAGAGCATAAAATATTTTTGACTGTGTCTTCTTACATGTAACGTAATTTATTTATTTTTTTTCATTTAAAAAATAAATGAATAGTTATTTAAGTACTTTGGGTTATGAACTAATGAAATAATGTTGATAATAAACCTACTTATACGTTCTATGCATTGTAAACAAGATTGAGGAAGCCTTAAAAAAAAAAAGAACCATTGTCTCATGGAACTGATTTAATTCCTAGATTTAGCATGTGTATGTGCTTTGGGCTATCGCTTTCTTTTATGATTAGATATTATCTTTATTATTTTAAGTATCTTTCAATTTATCTTTATATTGTATATAGTTATTATGTTTACATTTCCTCCTTTTCCTTTTGTTTTATTTCTTTGCTTGCACGTAGTATTAATTCTGTCAATATTTCTTTCTATAAATAGATCACTATCTTGAAATACCTTCTTTTTTTTCTGCTTTATAAAATGGTAACATAAATGTTTTATAATGACCAGTTAAAATAATGGGTAAGTATCTAGTGTTTTCTATTCTTATCTCTTTGGAGATTAAAGGTGTGAAAAGCCCAACAAGTTAAAATTTCAATAGAAAATTATACTTAATAAAGATTATTTTATTTCTTTTTATTTATTCTTTTTTTTTTTGGTCATAAAACATACTTTATATGAAATACAGCATATATATATATATATATATATATATATATATATATATATATATATATTTGAGTAAATATGGAAATATGAACAAAGTTTAACGTGTTTAATACTAAATGACCTGATAAACAAATGAACGATGAGCAAAGACAGTAGTTGCTCATCTGTTTGTCTAGTTCTGTGTGTTTTAGTGTGAATGAATATGGTGACACAGCTCAATTTAAGATTATCATCGGAGATACCATACATTTATTCACTTTTGTAGAACAAAGAGACATGGTTTTAACTTATAGCTGTTAAGTATCTAGTGCTAAAAGTTTTGTGAAAAATCTTTACTAAATATTCGGTACTATCTTACCTTTATCCTAACGTTTTTCTGGGGAAAGTAACATCTTGTTTCGTCCCTTTGTTGTTGGGAAAAGATAGCCCCTATTAAATTTAGTTTTGGACATTACTTTTATCAAAACGTTTATAACGATTTTAATGAGTGATACGAAATGTGAACATGTATTAGACCATTAATCAGTGAATCCTCAAGCAATGGTCATTACTAAAGCGAATATCAAACCTAGAGGGACACTTTCCTCAAAGACATCAAAAGTGAAAATCACAACACAAGGTAAGAAGGTTATCTTTCCTAAAAAGCTTAATGAAGTTAAATTACCTTCTCATAATATAAAATCTGCTTCAGAACTTATGGCGAGGTAAATAGAAATGGTGCTGCTGCTGTTCGAAGATGTCGTGAAAAATTTCCTAACTGAAGAATACCAAATCTTAAAACTTTTCAGGCTATTTAAAGACGCCTTAGGGATAATGGCACTCTAAAACCTATAAAACTAAACAAATATTTTGACGAACTGCAAACATTGAATAATATATATATATATATTACATACATTACATTGATAACACATCTAGATATTTGGCAATTATTAGAATTTATTTTTACAATATTTCTTAGGGGAAAATTCGCTCCTATTCCGCCATAACCCCGCTTTCATAACAACACCTCCTCCTATCCCCAAATTTATTGGCGAATTTGCAATTTAAAACGGTAGTATGGGTTGGATGAGGTCGGAAGGTATTGTGGAATGAGGGGATGCTGCGTCGTTATTAGCGGGATGATGAATTGGGATATTATTCCGTCAGATGAAAATTACAAGGGATTCGGACGGGGGCTAACGGTGGGCCCAACGCCGACAGATTCTCGCCCAACATTTAAAATGGCCGTGTATACTACATCAGATTACGAGCGCTCTAGATACAGCGGAAACGGCGCGTCTCTCCCTGATGATTATCTGTTTAGTTACAGCTCGCGGCCTTCTAAATTGCTTCCAATTTGTTCAACAAACGGCACTTTATCTTCCTCTGGGTATTTCTCATCCCTTTACCTTTTCAAAGATAATGTTTACTCTACATCACTGAATAAGGATTTTCAGGTCGTGTATAAATCTTTTCAAGATTTATGGAAACTGGGCAAACAAATCCAATTATTTCGTTATTCATAATTTATTTATATATTCACATTTAAAGGTCGTTTATTGGTATCTAGTTGCCGATTAGGACATATATTTTTGTTGTCATTAATTTTTATTATAGATTAGATGATAAGATATAAGAATCTTAAGCTCATTTGAGTTTTATAAAATTCATACATTACTTTAGTTTTCAATTTTAAAATATTAAAATTCACTTTTAATTAACATTTAAGTTGCTCAGATGTTATTACTTAGCCATTATTTTAAATTTTAATTTATATTGCAGCAAAAATATAAGTAATATATAATAACGTGCTTAAGATTTGTCTTCGGTACATCGAGGCGGTCTCATGTGTCCCACCTTTACGACGAGTTAAAGTGGCTCTTCCCTTCTTTCCACAGACAATATTTCCTTGGATCTTTCCTATCCCCAACGATCAACACCCGACACCCTTCCTACATCTACAGTCTCCTACAGTTTAAACCCATGGTGCACTCCCAGAAAACAAGATCCCGTGTTTCCGACTTTTATATCCTTTCCCATAGAACTAAGACATTTGAATATTCCTTTATTGCCCAATCCACTGCCTTCTGGAATTCTTTGCCTTCTGATATCCGCCATGTCTCTTCCTTGTCCTCATTTAAATATCATCTATACCAATTCCTTCTCACATCCCAAAATGACGTTATACAATGAAATAAATATTGCGAAACAGATTTTGACTGAGGTGAATGGTTGTTAAAATTGATAGTTTTAATTTTAAAAATCAACCCATGTTTATTTTATTTTTTTCTCTTTTCATTTAAATAATGTTTTTGTTTTATTTGTTTTTTTTTTTCAAAATGGTGTTATTTTTACTTGTTTTTAATATAATTTTACTGAAAATACTATATATTCTTTAATAATGACTAATGTAATTTTTGGCCAGATGTAGTTTTTATTTTTTTGTTCATATCTGTTATTCATAAGGGACCTTGTCCCAGAATAAAGTTTACTTTCTATCTATCTACCTAATATATTATCAAAATGGGATTTTGAGGAAAAAAAATTAAAATGGAAACATGTGTGCACATAGTTGCACATCAAAATAACTAGTTTGGTATTTGAGCCGTTCAGTTGACAGAATGACTAACTCCAATATCAACATTTTTTATTATTAATTTTAGTTATATTTTTAGTGGCAAAATTTATACCTTTATTCATAGTTCTATATTTCAACACTGCGATCACCTACTCTGGAATCAACTTACTTAGTGTCTATACAGATATTATATCTTTTCCAATTAGAAATATAACTAAAATGATATTACTGAAGAATGTAGAAATTGGAGTCATTCTGCCAACTGAAAGGATCAAATATCAAACTAGTTATTTTGAGGAGTTTCTTTACTTAATTCTGGAAGAACATACTATAGTTGAAATATAAACTTATTACTAGGATATATTTATTTTTTATCAATAATAATAAAAATTTGAAATTTTATTTTTGTGAAAATAATTGAATGATAAAAGACCATTTGCGTTTTATTTTTCATAGGACTTACCTTATTTTCACGACATTAAAAAAAATGAAGTTTTTGTTATTTACCTTCAATTTAAACCGAATGTGTTAATTTTTCAAATGAATATTTAAGTAGAATCATCATAAGTAGAATAGTTTAAATTAAAGTTAAATTCCAGAAAATAAGAAATCCTTTGATAACGATTCAGTTAAAAAAAAAAAAAATTAAAAATTTGCCATTTTATTGTGAAAATCTTTTAACCAGAAAAGAATGAGACAGATCTAACTCGGTTTCTATGACATTAACGATTGCACAATTAAGAAGGAATGACCATTTAGAACAATCAGTGTAATGTTATTGAATTAAAACAAAAAAAAATAAAAACAGGTATAACTAACTCTAATAAGATTTCCTATAAATCAATCAAAAAGTGTGCATAGAATGTTCTTTAATTTTAATTTATATATTATTTCTAAGTACTTTGAGGTGTGGGGATGACATTTAGGAAAAATATAAAAGAGTTTTTGGTAACTTTTCTATTGCACAGGATACACTTAAAGGGCTGATGACAGAAAAAAAATGATCGAATCTTTAAGTGGCAAAGATTTTGTCTATTGTTTCTTTGTGCCAAAGATGTGTTTTTTAAATTTGTAAAACTTAACATTGTGGGATAGAATCCCTTATATTTCATAAATAGTCTGCATTACATAGAGTTATGAGGGGCTAAAATTGAGAAATGATGAATCAATATTTAGAATATAATATAATAGAAAATTGATTTTTATTTTCGGACTAAGTCCCCTTAGAATAACAATAATGAACAAATACAAAAGAAAATACATGTCTGGGCTAAAACTAACTTAATAAAATTCTAACAATATATACAGTAATTTAAATAATAGTAAGTAAACCACTACAAAAAAAAAAAAAAAAAATGAAAGTAGGTAAAGAAAAAGCATAGATTTTTGTGATAAAACATTAACAACAGGCTGTCCAATAAAAAATAACTTAATACATAAGATAGTAATATATACAGTAATTTAATAATTATTAATAACATATACAGTAATTAATAATAGCATGCAAATATTTAAAAAAAAATACATTCTTCTCACGAATACTACAGTAGTAATGGAAAATAAAATATATTGGTACACAGAGAGATAAAAAGTATTTTAGTGATGGGGCCCATTAGTTTACTTGAGTTGGACCAGTTAGTTGGTAGTCCTTAGTCAAGTCAAGTCAAGTCTGAGGCTTTTGTGTATGTTTACCACTTCTATGGCCGTCCCTTCGGTGTCAGTGTCCTAAAAAGTTGATTAAATGGCAGAAATACGAAATTGCAATACTAGAAGTGGAAAATATTTTAGTGAATGCTGGTAATAAATTGAGTATAATCAGAAATAAGTAAGAAGTGGAACCCATGTCATGACTTGTTTTTTAAAATAAAATATTTCGATATTTTCGTGTTTTAATGAGTCTTTACCTCGAATAAGTCATGGGATCAGGCGACGTTTGAAGAGGGCACCCAAAACGTGGGAAACGACATTTAAACGGATAACGTTTTGCATAGTTATGCTGATTTTGGCTGGAATTGATATTTGTTGACAAAGATAATTGGAACGGTCCACATCCAGCTTTGTGATTAAATCATCAAGCGGACGGCACTCTGTAATCCATATAATAAGGCCAGCCACCTTATAATTTTGTCTCAGCTGTACATAGCTGATGCTGGTGGGAACTACGTTTTAGTCGTAAAAACGACGATATCAGATCAAAAAATAGAGAAAATATTGAGGAGCACCTATTCGCGAATTTTAGTGCAAAAATGAAGTGAATTCAGGGCCGGAACTAAACTTTTAAAAAAATATTAAAATATTTGCCCCTATGGAATAAGAACTATTATTGAATTTATGACTTGTAATAGTTATTTTATGTATCCCTATAATGACGGTACATATTCATGACCCCTGCTCATGATATTTCCTTCAATCAAGATTAGAGTCATGTGTACCGGTTGCGAAACTTGGTCTTAATAGATTCAAGGTACGGGACATTACTGCTAAGGATATTTGCCGACAAACGTGTTATTATTGGCTTAATTGTAGCGATGGTTTATTATTTCTAATCGCTGGTAGTAAATATTTGCATAAATATCTCCCCCGCTCATTTAATTCATGACTTATTCCCCTTGTTATTATTCCGTGCACTATTAAATGATACGGTGTAGGTGTTGCGGTATACCTTTGCGCAACCAACGGCCACCATGATACTCACCTTACTGGAAAATTTGCATTTTTTTTTTTTTAATTCGGACACATCTAATAAATATTTTTCTTAGCAAAAAAAAAAAACTAGTTAATTAAAACTAACATAATTTTTGCAAGTATATAAAAATTAATTTTAATTACGCCTTCATTCGGAATCGACTTGCCTAATATATTAAGTTGCTCTAGATTTCGAATGATATAAATTATACCAATAAAAGGTATAAGTATAGCGAATATGTGTAAAACACATTTTTTTATTCTTACTTAAGAGTTAAATCTCATCGACTTAATATCATAAATTATTGTTGTCAACTTCTCTGAATGGTGAACATAATTCCATGCTGAAATATTAAAAATATCTCTTTATACCTTTCTTAATTATTTTACGAGATAATTAATTATGTTAATTTATTTTTTCAGACCACAAAACATAAATTACTTATTTTAAATTCGAAAATTTTTGCATTCAATATTCATAATTTTGTGAAGTTCTGAAGATATGATTAAGTTGAATTTTATTAAAAATTAATTTATGGTAATAAAAAAAATTATATAAAAACATTACATTATAATTTAAAATTTAGAAGAATCCTCATACTAGACTGAAACGACAAGAAACCGCTCGACGTTTCCGATTACTTCAGCACTTACTAGACAAACGCTCTAAACTTCCAATTAATTACAAAAGACTCATATACTTGACTATAATGAGGCCTATTTGGACTTACGGAGTTGAGCTATGGGGCTCCACTAAACCATCGAATCCCTCTTGTATCCAATCCTTACAATCCTAAATCCTTCGTAAAATCCTCAATGCTCCCTACTTTGTTACAAATAAAACCATCCATAATGACCTTAATGTTCCTTTTGTTTCAGATCTGGCCCAATCCAGATACCTATCCTTCCATAATAAACTTCAGAATCATCCCAACCCTCTCGTTTCTAACCTTGCTTCCTCTTCAATTCCTCTTAATCCTCCGAGGCGTCTGAAAAGAAGATGGCTCCGTGATCTCCTAATGTAAACATATCATTAGAGTTCTACCGTTGGGTAGTTACTCAGCAAGTGTTTTTCATTTCATTATATACATTATGTTCAAATTTACTAGATATATTTTTTAATACAGTTGTAAATGTCTTTAAGAAATAAAAAAAAATAATAATTAGAAGGAATAAAAATAAAGTATGGCTAGGATCTAGTTGACTGTAGATCTAATTTTAAAATGGCCAAAATTGATGACTTTCATTAGGGCTAAGCAAACAAAAAAATATGTACATATATATAT